CCATGCAACTGTCAAAAGAGGGCAAAAGAGGGGAGAGTACGGGCACTGGAGGCACACGCGAGCAAAGCTCGATCAACCATGATATAGTCTATGCGGTGCTCATTCCCCCTGGCTCCGCGAAGGCGCGGCCCGAGTCGGGCTCGGGTGGGGTAGTGTTTAGGAGGGGCAGACCCTGAGCAATAGCGATTTCATGAAAGGTGGCCTTCATGGCATCCTGGGTCTGAACAAAACCTTCCGCCCCAACAACGGGCGACGAAATGCTACCCACCCTCGCGTGGGCATCGATAAGGACAATCTGAGGCTTTCATTTTCTTAATAGTTTTTGGAAGCTCCAAAAACGGTCGATGTTTTCAGCTATCTCTCTTGGAATGGGGCGCGTGCGCAACAATAATGGAGACGGACAAGGCAGGGCCAGAGATCTTGACGAGAAGCAACCGCGGGTCATAATATACCACTCGTATGTGGGGCGCCTTAAGATGCAGCTGTCTCTTGCCAAACTCCGCGTATGGCATCTGGTGATTGACCCATCATTCTACACCAAGACCCAAGCGCTGCTCTTCATCATTGTATCCCAAGGAAAAATGAGAAAACCCTCGGCGTTTCTAGCACCCTGCGGATTTCTGGCTTCCTGGATACCAACGAACAAGGCCCCCAGTGGGGCCATTTGAAGCCGTGTGAATTTGTTCCGTGCGCGCCTGGCCCGACCCGGGGAGCCCCAAGTGTGACGAGTAGACGTGGGACGGGCATTGTATTGAACAGCTTGGAGTTTGATGACTGCTCCTTTCAGTTTGCAGGGGAAGACAGCACCTTCGAGAGATGACCCGCTCGCCAGGATCACGTATTGTCTTCGGCTAATACTGCGGGCCGGGGGCAGCATTCGTCGGCGACGCGCAGAGGCGGGCAGGGGGAGGGGGGAAGGTTGGTTAGAAGTAGAGACTATTTTTTCAGGGTCCGGCGATAACCCGACCGGGTTCTCGGGCTCCCTCCCCCCAGGGTAACATAACCTAGCCAGTCGTGCAGGTCTGGGGGGGGGGCGCAGAGGGGCTCGCAGGGAGCTAGCGCTGTGTTCAACGGCGCGGTGGTGTTCGCAACAGCATGTTGGTGTCTGGATGCACGTTGGCGAAATGTTGGGGCTTGGACTGGCACGGAGAAGCGACGACGATGATGGCGACGACGACGACGACGACGACGTACGACAGATGGCCACAGACGACGACGACGACGACGATGACGACGACGACGACGAAGACGGCGACCGACGCAGACCGACGTTGCAAGTGAGCAGCGCGTACACTCGCATTGCGTTGTGCACACGAAGCGAGGCGATTCTGTGCGCGCATTTGCTGACGTTGCAGCAGGATGTGTTGTGCACGCAAGCGTTGTGGTGCTCGCAAACATAAGTGCGCGCATTTTGCGCGGTGCGGGCATCGTGATGCACCCAGGCAATATGGTGAAAACAGGCTACGTGGTGTGCGCAACTGTTGCTGCAACGTGTGATATCATTCACGCAGACATTCCAGGCATGGTGGTGCACAGAAGCACTGTGGTGCACGGTCACTGCGGGGTACCAGGCATTGTGGTGTACACAGGCGCTGCGGTGTACATATCCGCTGCTGTGCACACGTTCGCTATGGTGTACAGAGGCGTTGTGGGCCCAAACGACAGACCGTTCCCTTAGCAAGAAAAAACAGTGAACAATACGTTCAGACCCCCCACGAGTTCTGGAGTTCGGTCCCGCCGGGGGCCCTGGAAGTGTGCGTAGCTTTGTAATGTACACAAGCTTTCTGGTGCACCAGACCTGTGGTGCACGAGTATGGTGCTGGAGCAGCAACCGTGGTGTACAGAGGCGTCGTCGTGTACACAGGCTGTGTGCGCGGTGTACACAGGCGCTGCGGTGCACACGGTTGTTGTATTGTACACAGGCGTTGCGGTAGACAAGCGTTGCGGTGTATACAAGCAGCTGTGGTGTACAAAGGCGTCGTGGCGCACTCTAGACAGGCGCTGTCGTGTGCACAGACACGGTCGCCCAAAACGAGGGGACCGCAGCCTGGGCCAGCAAAGTTTAAGAACCAGAAGTGTTTGACATCCTGAATTTGACACGCCCGGGCCATGGAGGATTTTCCAGATTTGGGCTTCGGATGGATCTTGGATGTGCACGGAAACGCTGTGGCGCAAATGTTCGCCATGCGCTGTGGTGCACGCGGCTCCTCTTGTGTGCACAAGCACCGTGGTGTACAGTACACAAACGTCGTGGTGTACACAGGCATTGTTGTCTAGACAGGCGCAGCGGTGTACACAAGCAGCTGTGGTGCACAAAGGCGCGGTAGTGTACACAAGACAGGCATTGTGGTATACACAAGCATGGTCGGCCCAAAATGAAGAGGGACCGTTCCCCGGGCTAGAAAAATCAAACATCACATAGAAATGACATGTTGAATTTGATGCGTTCTGCCCCCCTGTGATTTTCCAGATTTGTGCCCCGGCGGGACCTGGGATGTGCACGGGAGCGCTGCGGCGCAAATGTTTGCTATTCGTTGTGGTGCACGCGGTTCCTGTGGTGTGCACAGGCATCGGGGTGTACACAGGCGCTCTGGTGCACGCAGAAACCTCTGCTGCAGCAGGCGCACGTTTGTGTATTACTCACAGGCAGTGTGGCGCACGCGTCTTTTATAACTAGTGTACACAAGACTTCGCGGCTACGCTTAGCAATCGCATCCCGCGTATTCCAATGCGAGTTGTCCAGACATCCCTAGGAATTATCAGACGGCGCCCGCATCGTCACATCACCATTAGTAGCATCGCGGCGGCATCGTTAGCAGCTACAGGGGCCGCAGCACCAGTCCGCGCGGGCACATGCAGGGCTGCCCACAGCGCGAAGGTTAGGTTAGACGAACCCTTGCGCAATGCGGGGCAGGAGTAGCTTTGGAGATTTGACGAGAAGGCGGCGAAAGGTTTTCGGGATGTTCGAAGGTCCCCAATCAAGGAAAAAACGATGAGTAACTAAGTGAACCCCTGAGTCACTGAAGAAGACACGGGCAGCTCCGTTGGTAAGCGTCTGTCTGTCTAGGGGGGCAGGATGTGTCTGCCCAGGCTGGCGCTGACAGCAAGCAGCCACAGACTCGCGGCAGCACCGTCGGAGCCTCGTGGCGGTTCTACGCTCTCCTCCCTCCAACAGGATAGGCAGATGTTCCACCACAATTTGCAACCGCAGGTAGGAGAGGGAGGAGGAAGAGGAGGAGGAGGAGGAGGAGGAGGAGGAGGAGGAGGAGGAGGATAATGAGGAGGAGGAGGAGGAAGAGGAAAAGGAGGATTTGTTTTGACATCGACGACATCGCCTCCAGATCCTGACAGAACAGGACAGGCGGAGGGAGATGCAGGCTGCGCCGAATGCAACCTGACGGCAGGCACTGCCTCTGCACGCTCCTGCTAGGCACGGCCAACAGGAAACATACTGAAGACAGAGCAGCGCCAACGGTCCAAGGCCATGCCCCCGTGGCGCGCTATGTGCGCGAAACAGGGCACGCAAGAAGACCGTGCTCCGCGCGCCCTGTTCGGGGCGCCGGATTCCGTGCTCTGACGCCCAACCTACCCACCACCCACTCCATGGGTGGCCGCTGGCGACGAGAGCAATTTTCTGTCCCCTTGGTCCCCAACGGGCAAACAAGGGTGACGATCGGGCTGCTCCCCGCCTGTTTTTCTGGGAAGGGGTCCCAGTGGCAAAGGTGTCACGAGGAAGAGGAGGAAAACAAGGAGGATAACGAGGAGGAGGAGGAGGAGGCGGAGGAGGACTAGGAGGAGGAGGAGGAGGAGGAGGAGGAGGAGGAGGAGGAGGAGGAGGAGGAGGAGGAGGAGGAGGGGGACCTCCCCATCCTCCCTTTTCTCCCGTCCTACCTAGGGGAGTGAAGGTGGAACATTTGCCCATCACACCTCAAACTCCGACATTCCGCAGCCGTATCGGCGCAAGGCCCAGGCATCCCGACCGACAGCCGCCGCCCTCCACCGCGCGCGGACCTCCCCAGAGAAACAAGCCCGAGGCAGCCCGAGGCAGCGCGCCAGGGGGGGCAGCCAGAGAGGGCAGGCCTTCTCACAAGGCGGCGCTCAGAGGAGGAAGAGGTGCCCATACCGCTGTCATTCCCTCGTTTTCGCCTGTTTGGGCCTCCTGGGAGGCCCTCGTCACCGCCGCTGGATTCGCCCCGAAATTCTGGTCAGAACGCACCCCAGGAGAGGTCAGGGGAGCAGCGGTATCGGTACCTTTTTGGTTTCCCCGGAAGCCTGCTGGTCTTTTCAGAAGCCTCCATACGGCCTTACTGTAGGGTTTCTGAGAAGCCATCTGGCCTCCGCAGGAGCCCTCTGGCTTCGGAGGCCAGAAGCCTCCTGAGCATTTTGAGGAACCCGGATCTCGGACGCCGTGTTTTTGTTCACCACGTCGACCCTCAGAGGGTTAGACTCCTTCCCGCTCCTCATCCCGAGTTGTTTTCTGACGGCCCGAGGGCTCAGAGAGGCCGAAATTGCCACCACGTCGGTACTTTCTCATAACGAGGAGAGGTGGGGGAGGCCCACCCCTTCTGGCGTTCTGGTCATAACTCGGGTCTCCAGCGGGCGTTCGGGACGACCCGGGCACCCCTGGATTTCTCTCGCGAGTCGCAGCTGCTGCCATTTGGGGGCTGGGAAGACGCCCGAAAAGTTCAAAACTCAAGCGCCCCTTCTGCTCAGAACTCCGACGTCATAATTGTTTGCACACATTAAGTGGGTCCCACATGTCTGGACCGTTCCCGGGGGACCGGCTTCTCCTCCTCGGTTGTTTTCTGGCGGTCCCGAGGCCCAGCAAAGGCCTCCAGAGGCCGAAAATAGCGAGAAAGCATCATGTCGTAATTTTGTCATGACCCGAGGGGGAGTCTGGGTCCCTCCAAGAGACCGAAAACACTGAAGAAGCTTCATGTCGTGATTTTGTCATGGCCCGAGGGGTTCTGGGTGCCTTCCCCCTGGGCGCGCTGCCAAAGCCAAGCGATATGTCCCTGGCGCCCCTGATCGTGTTCCTGCTGGCAGGCGTTCGGTAACCAAAACATGGGAGCCTTGCAGCGTCAGCTTGTGATTAACAAGTGGGACGTTCCAAAAACGGCCTCGCATTCGAGTATCGGAGTTGTCATCTCTTCCGCGGCGGCAGGCGGTGCAAGGTCGGCGGCAGGCGGCGGAAGTAAAAGGAGGCCGCCTCCGCCGGCGGAAGCCGTCGGCAGACAGCGGGCGGAAGGTTGCGGAAGTAAGAGATGCGCCTCAAGAGATGAAAACATGTTTGGGCTCATGGTTTCCGGGATCCGCCAGATCAGCCCCCCTCCGATTGGGCTGGTGAATAGACCAGGGAGTGCGCGAACCATTTTTTGTTAATCTCGCGCGCCAGGTCTCGGAGAGCTCGGGGAGCCACCGCGCCGCCGCCGTCGCTGGCGGCCGGGCGTCGGCGCTAATTACCGGCGCCGCCGCCGTGTGTTCAATTTTGCGGGCGCCGTTCTCGCGATTCGCCCGAGCAGGGAAAAGATGTTCTTGATCGCACGCCCCGCTTGTTGCTGTGAATCACAAGCTGACGCTAAGATCTCGAAGTTCCGCATGAGCTCCGATCAGCGTCTGGTAATCGATGGCATGGCGCCGATGCAGCGACGATGCGCATCGAGTCGCGTCGACCAGCGCCAGCTCGCAAGAGCCAACAGGATGGTACGTCATGGGGAACATCCTGGAAGCCTGGCGCGGCGCGAATAGCATTATCTAGTCCACACGTCAGGTCTGTAAGCTATGGGTCGACGTTTGCGCGGCGATGCTCCGGCGTCAGCCCGACGTAAACCCGCATAATCCGACGTGAACCCGACGTAAATCCGGCGTTAACCCGACGTGGATCCGATGATCCGATATAAATCGGGCCTTACGTTGCCGCGCGAGGCCTCCCGGATTTTCTTCAGAAGGTACGGGAGGCCCCCGTGAGTTGCCACCGACAGGGGCCCGCCTCGCCAGCGGCACCATCGCGGCCGTGGAGGTCGGCGCCCAGGGGGTGCGGCCGGGCGCTCCGCTGCCCGAGGTTGCCGGCGAGCGGGAGGTCCCTTGCGCCACGCCGCCCGAGTGCAGCACGGCACTTGCCCAGGCGGTCGGGGGCCACGTCAGTCGTGTGCCGGTGAGAATCTCAGAGGCGCATGTTTCCCCATTGATACTTCAGACGAGTCATGTCCGCCTGGGCCCCAGTCGGACGATCGGAAATGCGAGCGCAGTGGCGCGCGCGGCCGCGCGCGACCCACCGCGATGGGCAACGAATGTTTCTCCTCAGAGCGCTCATCTTGAGCCAGGCCAGCACAGTAATTTTGTGCTGGTGGCCATGGGAACAAGAAAGTCTGGAGCCCTAGGAGGATGATGCATTTTTCCCGGAGGTACCGATGCTGGGATGTCTGGATGGGTCTCGAATGATTTCCAGGCTGATATGCGGAGGAGATGGAGTGAAAGGAGGGGCAAGAGGAGGAGAAAAGGGGTAGACAAGAAGGACAAGGAGTAGGACGAGGACAAGACAAGAGGAGGAAGACGATGCGGAGAGGAAGGAGGAGGAGGAGGAGGAGGAGGAGGAGGAGGAGGAGGAGAAGGAGATTTCAAGAGAAATCACAGATTCTGACCAATCAATTATTGAATCGCTTCGCTCATTCCGCCGGCCCATACGGTCTCATGTCTGCCGTTTGCCCGAGGGCCTGGTGTCAATGCGGCGCTTTGGGGGTTCCTGGGGCCGCTTGGGGGACTCCTGGGGCGCTCGGGGGGGCATTTGGGGGGCCTCCTGGGGCCGCTTGGGGGACTCTTGGGGGCCTCCTGAGGGCCTCGTGGGGGCCTCTTGGGGCCTCTTAGGGGCCTCTTGGGGCCTCGTAGGGGCTTCTTAGGGCCGAGGGCGCGAAATTTTGTTTCGTGTTCCCTCTCTGGGGCCCCTTTGGGGGTGTTCTTGGGGCCCTCTTGGACCGTCTTGGAGGCTTCTTGGGCCGTCTTCGAGCCCTCTTGGGCCATCTTGGGGCCCTCTTGGGGGCCTCTTGGGCCCTCTTGGGGCGATCTTGGGGGCCTCTGGGGCCGTCTTGGGGCGTCGGGAACCGAAAAGGTGGAAGCTCCAAAATCTTTCAAAAACCTAAGGAAAAACAATGAATTTTGCCTCCGGGGGCCCTCTTGGGAGTGCTCTGGGAGGCCTCTTGGGGCGTCTGGGGGCTATCTTGGGCGTCTTGGAGCGATCTTGTGGCATGTCGGACCCCTCGTGTACCATCTTGGGGGCCTCTTGGGGGCCTCTTGGCCTTTCTTGGGGCTCTCGGGGACGTCTCGGAGCCCTGTTGGTGCGCTCATGGAGCGCTCCTGGAGCGCTCTGGGGGACTCCTCCCGGGACTCTCTCAGGACCTTGCCGGGGTACTTTTCGTCCGGGGACCCCCAGGGGCCGCCCCGCGCGCGCGAACTAGAGAATTCTTAACCAGTTACCGGAGATCTTAGCACGCCTCTGGCCCGTTGGGCCGGCGAATTTTCTGGTAGAACTCGAGGGGGTGATTAACAATGACGGCGATAAACAAGTTCAGATGGGGCGCGGAGGGAGGAAAGTGGGGAGGGGCAGGAAGATGACTCAATGGACGATTAGTATTTTCCCGGATGGTAATAAAGTTCGGCCTCGCCGATCCGCCCGCCTATCAAATATACGTACCCCATGGAAAATCATAACTCAGGGGTTAAGGGGGGGATGTTTTTAATCGCGGGCATGCCATTACCCTCACTGAAAGCCCGCTGGGGGTCTGAGGTGGCCAAGCACGGGTTCCGGCCAGCAGCAAGGGCGGGCAGGTTTGAGCTTCTGGGTCCGAGCAGTCTCCGTTGCCTTTTGCCGTCTCTGGGGGCCGTTTTCGGGCCCAGGGAGGGATCTGGGGACCGAGTTTGAGTGGATTTGGCTTCCTCCCCCCTCCCAGCAGAGCTCTGGGCTCCAAGCCAGTTCAGATCCCATGGCTGTCTCGTAAGCTTCGACCAGGAGGCTCTGCTTGGCGTGTCGCTCCACGGGCTCTGGCCCACCCTGCCTCGGTACGCCTGACCTGCGGTCCACTTCGCGGTCCCCAGGCGTCCACGTGCCGACCTCTTCCAGGCTTCCCACCCCGCGAAGCGGAGCGACACGCTGTCCGCTTGCAGGGCATACAGTCGGACCGAGGTAATTGTAAGGTCGAGGTCGGTTCGGGGAGGGAATCCTTGTGTCCTTGTGTTCTTCGTGTTCCTGTGGATGCTCTTGTGCGACCTGGGGAGGGTACCATTGGATGTTCTGCCTGTGTTGGCCGACGGAGGGTCTCATGTTCTTGAAGGATGTTATCATGGCTTAGGTCCGACTGTAGCGTGTCGCCTGGGCCACCGCCGCGACACGCTCAGCTCTCAGACATTCCCCTCATTCATCCGGGTCTTCCGCCCTAGCCTTCCGCCCCTTTGTCGATGTGACCTATGTGGGCTTTCTTGAGTAATACAAGATGTCCATGAGTTTCGATGATGTCTTCCGCACCTTCCCAGGAGATCAGAAGGTATGGAAAGTGGAGGTGGAGGGGAATCCCTATGAGGTTCTACCGGAGGTTGATAGACCTCCTACCCTGACACGTCGATTAAGGAATTGGCCGTTTTCGGTTCGCGATGGGGCGTCGCGGCCGTCATTTTTGTGGGTCCAGGTCCGTCGGTTTCGGTCCCAGGCCGTTTTTACTAAGGGGAGGTTTACTGAAGGGAGGTTTGTCCACCGCCGATTCTAAGAGGACCCTGCCTTCAAAGAAGCTCCCCCGCCTCCTTAGAGAGCCTCCCCCCGTCGCTTACCTCCTTGTGTGCGCCGCCCACAGGAGGGACTGGGGGCCAGGGGCGCCGAGAGGGAGGGATCCCAGACCCCCTCGCGTTGTTTGAAAATCATGACGGGAGGTTTTTCATTATCTTCGGCCTCCAAGAGCCTTCGCCGGGCCTCGAGACTGCCAAAAAGCGAGCGACTCAGGATGAAAAACCGGTCCCCGGGAAGGGGTCCAGGCTCCTAGGGGTTACGTCATGAACAAATCACGACGTCAGGGGTCTGGGACCGGCCCAGGGTTTTGAGTTTTTCGACGGTTTTCGGTAGTTGCTCCGCCTCGGGATACCTTCCAGCGGTTGCGCCTCGCCGAGAGCGTCCTGGGCGTGCCCGGATCTTCCCGAACGGCAGGCGGAGGCCCGAGGTATGACCGGAAAACCACAAGGGGGTCGGGTCAGGAGGGGACGCGTAGACCCCCGATCGCCCACTGATCGCCGATGGGGGCTTGACAGCCCCGCCCCGCCCAGGAACGTGACGATTTGCCATCGGCGGCCAATCGCCGAGGCATCGGCGATGCATCGTCGAATGCAGATTGGTCTTCCCCGCCCCCCGAGCTGGTCCCCCCAACGTTCCCCTTTCACTGAAAGCCTTTCACAGGTGTCCGATGCCAAGAAGCTGGCCGCGATCGTAACGACAACGCAGAAGGTTAACAACATGATTTCCTTCGCCCAGGCGCTGGTCGCTCAGGCCAAGGCCATGCTGGACGAGGATCGCTACCTCGCGGACGCCCTACAGACGAACTCGACAGGCCACCTTAACCAGGCAGTCTTCAAAGCAGGGGTGAACACAGTCCCGAATCAAGACCGCCTGCAGCTGAAGATCAACGAGCTCGAGGCAGAGGATAAGGTATTCCAGGTTGCCTTCTCCGACGTCGTGCCGTTGCGCGTGACAAACCTAGGCGCCTGAGGTCTGCACGACACAGGGGGGACCCTCGCAGTCCACGGTCCAGTCCTAGAAAAATAGACCACATGTCGGGCCTCGATCTCTCCCTTTCCATCCCCACCTCAGTCCCCTGAGGGGCCACGTTAGGGGGGATCCGGCTCACGTGGGGACGCATCGACCCCCAATTGTCGATGGATTACCACCCCGCCCAGGAGCGTGCGGCCTCGCTGTCGAGGACCAATGGCCGATCTGCCGGCGACGCATCGCCGGTTCCAGGTCGATGTGTGTTCCCGCAGTTTCCCCCTCCCGCCTTCCGGGTGGCCCTCGGCGACGCATCTCTGGTGCCAGGTCGATATGTGTCCCCCCTGAGCGGATCCCCCCTCTCGTTGCTCTTCCCGCCTTCTGGGTGGGAGCGTGGACCCCGAGTGGCACAGAGCCTGCGGCCTGCCCGTCGGCCAGCTGGGCCGACCGAGTTCCGCGGAGCCCTTGGGGCACGTCGCCGCGCGCGCGCACGGCGCGCACTCGGCGTCCCGTCCGTCCTGCCGCTTCCCAGGCCCCCGACGTCGTGATCTGTGCATTACGTTGACCCCCAGAGGGCTCGACCCCTTTCCCCTGGGACCCCTTTCTCCTCCCGTCGTCTGTCGACTGTCGCGAGGCCCAGTCAGGGCCCCCAGGGGCCGAGCGGACAAGGGAAAACCCCACGCCACGGACGTCGTCATTTTTGTCCGCGACTCGAGTTCTGATGTACCAGTCTACTTCAGCCCTGATCGCCAGACATAATTCCGATCACCAAGTGAAGCATCAAAACTGCCGGGCTTTCACGTGTCGGGCCTTGGGAGGCGACATTCCTTCGGCATTACGCCCCAGCGCGCCGGGCAAGCACTCTTACGACACTTTTCGGGGTGCTCGACATGAGTTCTGGGATGCGGCCGGTCCGCAGACCCTGACGTCATGATTTCCTCATAACGCCAGTCCTCAGAGGTCTCGACCCATGCACCTGGACCAGTTCTCCATCCTGAGTCGTTTTTTGACGGTCCCGAAGGCTGGTAAGGGCCTCCAGAGGCCGAATATTAGGAAAGACCTTCCGTCATGATTTTTTCATTGGCCCAGTGGAGAGAGCATGCTACGCATGGAATGTATTCAATGGAAATCAATTGCAGTGGGCCCGCTCGTGCCCACCCCGTCCCGTCTTCAGGGACTTCGCATCCCCCTATGATGGTAAGATGGGAAGACGAGCCGCCGCCCCTGGCACTGCACGTACGGTGCCAGGTTTGTGGGGATTTGGTTCGACCCCCGCAGTTCCAATGATGGAAACTGCGAGGGGTGTGAGGCCTCATGATGGTCCTCACTGGTAAGGCCTATGATGGTCCTCACCGGGGGGGGAGAGGGCAAGGGCGGACGTCCACCAACAACGTCCGTCGTGCTCATCCTCCGTGAAATGCACTGTGACCACACTCATGAATCAGAAGACCGTGACTTTCACGAGCACGACCCGACCTATGATTGCGGACCCCGTGAAACGCACCGTGACCACGCTCATGACCACGAAAACCGTGAAATTCACAAGCACGATTCGACCTATGATTGCGGACTCCGTGACATGCACTGTGATCGCACTCATGATCACGAAGACCGTGAAACACGCGAGCACGACCCGACCTATGATTGCGGACTCCGTGAAATGCCCTGTGACCACACGCATGAACAAGAAAACCGTGACATTCACGAGCACGACCCGACCTAAGATTGCGGACTCCCTGAAACGCACCGTGAACACACCCATGATCACGGAAACCGTGAAATTCACGAGCACGACCCGATCGAGGCCGAGGTGATGCCCGCACTGCCTGTATCGCGGCTCCGATGGGGTGGAGAGAGACCAGGAGGAGGAGGAGGAGAAGGAGGAGGAGGAGGACGACGACGAGAAAGTTGAGTTCAATGAACAAATTGAGCGCGAAGGCCCATGATGGTCCTTCTTCCCGAAACGAGCCTTGTTGATGGCCCCGAATTGGGTGCGAGGTACCTATGATGGCCCCTCTGGTTGCCTATGATGGCGGCACTAGACGACCGGCACTAGGCGTCCTCCCCCCCCCTCCGCGGACGCGCCCGACGGCGAGGCGCACTCCAAGGACGACATGGCTGCGGCCGCGGCGCGGCGCGAGGCTACCGGCGAGCTGCAGGTGCTGAGCCTCCCAGATGGGATCGTAGTAGTAGATGGGGTCGTCGTCGTCGTCGGAGGAGGGGAAGGAGAAGGAGGAGGAGGAGGACTGCTGGGGAGGAGGGAGAAGGAGGCTTCCTTGAAGGAGGAGGAGGAGGAAGAGGAGGAGGAGGAGGATGCATCGCCGTTACATCGGCGATGCGGGTCGATGTGGAGCCCGATGTTCCCCACGCCGACGTCGCCGAGGCATCACCGACGCCGCCGATGCGGTGCAATCGTCCGGGCCCACCTACTCGGGCCCCATCCAGGGGGCCTCTACAGGTGCTGAGCAAGTCGGAGGCGTACCGCCACCTGTCTGGCTGGGCGTCCGAGCTCTCGTGGAAGGCCGTCAGGACGCGCCCGGCCCCCCGGCGGCGCGAGACCCATTCGGGCCGTGAAGGAAGTCGCGACGGGAGGCTCTTCGTTCTCCACGTTCGGCCTCTGGGGGCCCTGGCCGGGCCTCTGGGACCGTCCCCGAAGCAAATCGTCAAGCAGTGGCGGAGCGTCTTGGCTCGCCTATAGGCCCACCAACGGATGTGCTGACATAAGAACCTTGTGTGGTCTGCACGAAATGTTCTTAGAACATGTCTGGCGCCGAGACTGTTCTGTTTTAGCGCATCGGGCATACGTTCTGAGAACATTGTTTCTGTTCTAAGAACATTTCTGGGCTCCAAGAAAATTTCGTGGTAGTCCTACAGGATTTCCAGGACGGTCGGTCCCTGCTCAAACTCGGAATGACAAGCCCGCCCCTGGGGAAGGGGTCGAGACCTCTGGAGATCGGCGTCATGGCAAGGTCATGACGTCGGGGGTCTTGGGACGGAGGGTGGCTCGGGGACGCCGGCAGGGAGGTGCGAGGTTCGAGGTTCTCGGGCGTTCCCTCGTCAGTGCTCTGCGGGTTTGCAGCCTCCGGGTGCCTTTTAGCGGCTGCCCCTCGCCGAGAGCCCCGGATCGTCCCGGACGGCCGCTGGAGGCTGGAGTTACGACCCGAAAACCACAAGGAAGAACGCGTCGATCCCCAACCGGTCATTCATCACCAATCGGTTCTTGGGCGCTCCAACCCCCGCTCCAATCCCCGCTCTACCAGTCATACATCGCCGATTCCAGGTCAATGACTCCTGCCTGGGGCAATCCCACTCCCTATCGTGCCCCCTCAAGGACGGGGCAGGAGACATGGTGGGGAGGGAGATAGAGCGAAGGGAGGTGCTGCGCTAGCCAGAGGCGTACAACCACTTGTGTCCAGCCTCTTGGGGGCATCTTGGGGTCCCTTGGAGGCTTCCATGGGGCGTCTTGGTGGCGTCTGGGGGCCTCTTGAGAGTATGCTGACGGCCTCGGTGGCCATCTTTGAAGAGAGGTCTCGAAATGTCAGTTCGGGTTCCGCTCTCGGGGGCACCTCGGACCGTTTTGGTGCGACCTTGGGGCCGTCCGTATTCGAGCGTTGGGAGGTCGAATGCGCGAGAATGCTGAGATCATTCAGGAACGGATGAGTTGTGTCTCCTGGGGTTCTATTCGGCGTTCTCTTGGAGCTCTCTCGGAGCGATGTGGGGACGTGGTGGGCCGTCTCGGAGTCGTATTGTGGCGTCTTGGGGGCCCCTTGGGCCTTTTTGACGCTATCGAGGGCCGTGTGGAGACGCTCTTGAACGGCCTTGGGCTTTCGTTGGGGCCCTCTTGGGCCTTCCTGAGTGCGTCTGGCGTCGTTGTGGGCGGGAGGGGCGTCCTGGATGCCCATGCGCCACATCCCGCGAGCGCCAAACGTAGCGCAGGGAAGGCAGGCCAATTCGGGGTCTGTGCCCTCATCAATAACGCACGAGGCTCGCGCTGAAGGCACGGTGGCGGACTAGCGGGAAGGGATCGGTGCAGGAGGGGGGCGAGGGTCCTCGTCCTCCTCCTCCTCCTCCTCCTCCACCTCCTCTCCTCCTCCTCCTCTTCCTCCTCCTCCTCCTCCTCCTCCTCCACCTCCTCCGCCTCCTCCGCCTTCTCTTCCTCCTCCTCCTCCTCCTCCTCCTCTTCCTCCTCCTCTTCGGAGTAGGAAGAGGTAGAACAGGAGCACTAAGATGATTGGCGCTAAGAGTTAGAACAGCAAGGAGAGACGGAGGAGAGGAGTCGGACAACACAGACGATTACGCCTAATCTGCACGGGCCTCATCTTGCGGAGGCCCGCGCGAACGCTTTGCGTTTGCGCCGCGCCCCCTGGCCCCCCCACGGCGCCTCCGCCGCAGGCGCGCGCCGCGCGCACGTGCAAGGGGGGAGCACCGCGCCGACCCCACCAGACCCGCGTGGTCTTCGACCGGGCTGTGCTTGTGCAGTCCTTGTGCACGCATTCTTTTGCCACAGGAATGCGTTGCTGCCGATTGCAAGGGGTGGGCCAAAACCTAGCGCGCTCAGATACGAGCGTAGTCACGCGATGCGGGTGCCGACGCGAAGCCAAGATCAGTCCACAAGAAAAAACACTCGACCCCCTTTGGGCCAGCACCAAATTTCACTCCAGCGAAAGGACACTCTTACGTGTAGTCGATTTGGGTGCAGGGAGGGGCTCCACAGGAACAGGTGCCCATACCGCCTACCCTTCCCTCGTTTCTCCCTTGTTTCGCCCTCCTTCGCTGCCCTCGTCGCCACCGCTTGATTTTCGCCGACATGCTCGTCAGACCGCTCCCCGGGAGAGGTCCGGGGAGCAGCGGTATCGCACCTTGTGGTATACCCGGGGAGGGGGAGTGCGGGGGGAGGGAGGGAAGGGAAGGGACGGGCGAGGGAGGAAGGGAAGGGAAGGGAAGGGAAGGGAGTGGAGTTGGGTGGACGCCATCACAACGCCATATCCTGAATCATGAGCGAAGGGGACGAGAGGGAGGAGGGACTGGCCAAGCGCCCCCACCAGGGCCCGCCTCTGTCCTGCTCTCCCCATTTGTTCCAGGAGTTTCAGGATCTTCTTTATTTTTTTTGGGGGGGGGGGCAGGCGGTTCCGACGTTTCCAGGGGTTTGTTCGAGGCGGGCATCCACGAAGCGCGTTCTCTCCGAGCTCGACGTCTGAAAAGGCACACCCGCTCTTTTGTTGGGAGGAGAGGAGAAGGAGCACAAGTTGCAGTAGGAGGTGCTGTGTCACGAGTCGGGGAACTGAGAAGACGACTGGAGGGATGGAGATGGGGAGGGGAGAGGATTGGAGATTGGAGCGAAAGGGCGGAGAGCGGAGAGGATGGAAGGAGGAGAGATGGGGGGGGTAGAGAAGAAGGAGCAGCAGCGGAAGAAGGAGCAGGAGCAAGAGGATATGTAGGAAAGCTAGGAAAGCATGCGCCAGAGTGGGAGCATCAGCAGAAAAGCCAGCGGCATGAGGAGAAGGAGGCGGAGGAGGAGGAGGAGGATGAGGAGGAGGAGGAGGAGAAGCTCGACGCTACGAGCTTCGCTCAAAGTTTACCCAAAGCAAAAAGGAGGAGTAAGAGGATGAGGAGGAGGAGGAGGAAGAGGAGGAGGAACACAGCAGGGAGGAGGAGGAGGAGGAGGAGGAGGAGGAGGAGGAGGAGGAGGAGGAGGGGACGAGACGAGGAGGAGGAGAGGAGGACGAGGAGGAGGAGGAGGAGGAGGACGAGGAGGAGGAGGGAGGAGGAGGAGGAGGAGGAGGGGAGGAGGAGGAGGAGGAGGAGGAGGAGGAGGAGGGAGGAGGAGGAGGAGGAGGAGGAGGAGGAGGAGGAGGAGGAGGAGGAGGAGGGAGGAGAAGGAGGAGGAGGAGGAGGAGGAGGAGGAGCGAGGAGGAGGATCAGCTAGGAGGAGGATGAGCGAGGAGGAAGAGGAGGAGGAGGAGGAGGGAGAGGAGGAGGTGCACAGCAACGAGGAGGCGCAGGGGGGTGGACAAGGCGGAGGCAGACAGCGGGGCGCGGGGCCCCCTCGAGGAGCCCCTCCCCGCCGCCGGCGCGGCGCCACCGCCACCACGGGCAGAGGCTCAGCTACCTCGACGGCAGGGCGCCTTCCCGCATGGTGCGGCAGCTGGCGACCTGGGCCCGGGCGCTCAGGCCGCGAGGGGGGTGCCTCTCGTCGGGCCGGGGCCGCGAGTGGGTGCGGAAGTAGAGCCCCAGCCCCCTCGCGGCGTGACAAAAATCAGGGCGGGAGGTTTTTCACGATTTTCGGCCTCCGGGGGCCCTCGCTCTCGGGGCCGTCAAGCAGCGATCCAGGATGAAGGACACGACCTCCGAGGGTCGACGTTGTGAACAAAATCGCGACGTCGAGGGTCGGGGTGCCTCTTGTCGGGGAGGCCTGAGTGGGTGCAGAAGTACAATGGAAACCCATGCCAAGAAACACCATGCTTGCCTCCAGGGTGCCCTCCCTGATCGTCTTGGGTTTCGGTGGTTTTGCAATGGAAGGCGCGACGCTCCCACACCAGAAATGAAGGGACGTCCTGATGTCTCAGGGTTGGGTTTCTTGTGGAAGGTTTCTTGTTGTCGAGCTCGTACTGTAGTGGGCACACAGGGCCCCACACTGCACTCGTTGTGCCCCCCGCCCCACCAGCAGGGTCTGTCTGCTGTTCTTCGTCTCATGTCGACGCGCGCGCCTCCTTGCGATGTTGGGCCGCCCGAGGGTTTGTTGGTCTTCGCCCCACTTATGTTTGATGTGATAGCTCTTGAACTTGCACCGGCGGAATCGATCGATAGACAGTGCGACTCCCCATCGTGCACCTCTTCCACTGATTACCTACGGGCTGACTGCTAGCGTGCCCCTCCATGGCTGTGCTCCTACACAGGCGCCCCTGCGCGCCAGACCCTCTTGCCGTCGCCGCCATATCGTATGTATCGAGAGCCGACAGCCAGCTCAGTGAGATCGTCGTTTCTTGTGACCAGCCAGGCGGCGACAGATGCCACCGTCTGTGTCTGGGGCGGATTCGGCCAGGGGCAGTGGGCATGTAAGTTCTTTCTGATGGCCAGTCCTTGTCGCACCGTTGATTCTTCGTATTGTCAAGGTGATGTGTGTGGCCCAGGATGTTTCCCCCCACGATTCGCCACCCATTTGCGGCGAGACCCTGAATATCGTACCCAACGACTTCTTATCCTGTGTGCTCGCTGCGGCTGCAGTTGGCTTAAGGTTGCTGCGGCGCAGCGCCAGTTACCTCAAGCATCGGCACCAGACTCCTGGTTCTCTGATTGAGCGTGCTCGTCCAGGCATGGCCCAGAGGATGTCCCAAATGTGCAGCAATCCGAGGCCGTGGCAAAGGCTTTCTCTGCTTCGTCCCTTCAGGGGGCATCATAGGCTAGCCTGCTTCCTGGCATGGGGAGCGCTGTTCTGATCTCCCACACGCGTTCGACGGTATCCTCTGGCGTGTGCAGCACGACGGCGCCCGCGACTGTTTTTCAGAGCCTACTGAGCTCTGCTGTGTTGCACGGGGGTGGGCCCCAGGGTGGGACGGCTGGGTCCGTAGCCTTTGGCTCCAGGTCTGGCTCGAGCGCGTTCGCTCGGCTTGCTCGCCACGAGTGCCGCTCCATCGCCTTCCGGGCGCCAGAGAACCCGAGTGCCAGCCATGGCCCTTTCGGCGTTCGCGGTGGCCCCGTCGCAGCCGGCGGCCGCCGGGCGCTTCCTTGCGCCGGCGGCGGAGGCCCGCGGCCGCCCGGAGCCCGCTGGCGTGGAGGCCTCCGCGGGTGCCGCGGTGGGCCCCGGCGCCATCGGGCTGGCCGCGGCGGGCGGCGCGGCGGCGCTGGGCCTGCGGCGGTCCCGGCGCCCGAAGAAGTCCGCGGGCGCCCGCGGGGCCCGGGTCGTGGCGTGCGCCCGCGGCGGGGAGGCCGACCTGCGGCCGTGCATCCCCCTGGAGGAGCTCCGCAACGGCGACGTGCCGAAGGTGGGCGGCAAGAGCGCGTCCCTGGGCGAGATGATCGGGGGGCTCGCGGACGCGGGGGTCCCCGTGCCCGGGGGCTTCTCCACGACGGCCCAGGCGTACAGGGACTTCCTCCAGCAGGGCGGCCTGGGCGACAGGATCAACGAGGCCCTGGAGGACGAGGGCATCTACACCGACGTGACCAAGCTGCAGGAGGTGGGCAAGCGGGTGCGCCAGATGATCATGGACCAGCCCCTGCAGGCCGAGTTCGAGGACGAGCTGAAGCGGCAGTGGGAGCGCGTCTCCCAGGGGAACGAGGGCTTCCAGGTCGCCGTGCGCTCCTCGGCCACCGCGGAGGACCTGCCGGACGCGTCCTTCGCTGGCCAGCAGGAGACGTACCTCAACGTGTCCGGGTACGAGACCCTGAAGGAGAAGGTGCACCAGTGCTACGCCTCCCTCTTCACGGACCGCGCCATCTCTTACCGCCACGACAAGGGCTTCGACCACCGCACGGTGCAGCTGTGCGCCTGCGTCCAGAAGATGGTCCGCAGCGAGGCGGCCTCCGCCGGCGTGATGTTCACGCTCGACACCGAGTCCGGGTTCCAAGACGTCGTCTTCGTCACCTCGGCGTGGGGCCTCGGCGAGACCGTGGTCGGAGGGACCGTCAACCCCGACGAGTTCTACGTCTTCAAGCCGACGCTGCGGGAGGGCAAGGACGCAGTGGTCTCCAAGACGATGGGCTCCAAGCTCGTCAAGATGGTGTACGCCAAGGAGGGCGGCAGCGAGACCATCGATACCACCCCCGAGGAGCGCACCGCCTGGTCCGTCACGGACGAGGAGGTCACGCAGTTGGCCCAGATCGCCATGAAGATCGAGAAGCATTACGGCAGGCCCATGGACATCGAGTGGTGCAAGGACGCCGACGACGGCCAGCTCTACGTCGTCCAGGCCCGCCCGGAGACGGTGGCGTCGCGCCAGAAGAAGAACGTCCTCGAGACCTATTCGATGGAGCAGCGCGGGAAAGTCCTGTGCGAGGGCCGCGCTGTGGGCGGCCGCATCGGCAGCGGCAAGGTGGGCGTTTGTTTTTCCCTCCCCAGATACCCTGGCCTCTCCTCCCCGGGTGACGCTAACGATCGTACTGGGCAGGGTGGCCTGGACCCCGCCCCCCCCCCTGCCTGCTAGGGGGCGGACCCCCCGTGCTACAAGGCATGCTGTGGTGCTCACAAACGTGTTGTGGCGCTCGCAGGCTCTCCTCCTGTTGCGGCGCCGACCTACAAGGCATGGCGTGGTGCTGAGAGGCATGTTTCGGTGCTCACGTGCGTCTTGTGGCGCTTGCAGGCTATTGCGGTGCGTATAGGTCAGGCGGACTCATTGCCAAGGTGCCCTACTCGGAGGGCGTCCTGTCGGGGGAGCCATGTCTTGCGGTTTTCGGCTGATCAGGCGTTCGAGGTTCAACGCGATGCAGGAGCCCGTTTCGGGCCCCGGGACCCGCAGAAACGAGCCCACGGCGCGAAATCGATATCGAACATTTCATACGGTCTAGGGTTTCCAGGGTCCGTCGGGAGCGGATATCGTTCAATATTGAACGATCCACGCGGTATCAGAACCAACGCCGGCGGCGCTGGGGCTTTCGAGCCCGTCGTGAGGCTCCTGCAGCTCCTCCTGTTGCTGCTCCTCTTGCTCGTCCTGCTGCTCATCCCCCCGCTCCGTATCCCCCCCCTCAACGAAGGCCGCCAGGACCGTTGAAAGAGGAGAGGAAGAGGAGAGGGAGGATGAGGCGCAGAAGGAGGAGGATGAGGAGGTGGAGGACGAGATTAATGACGAGTCCTGAGGGTCTCCGTGGTATGTGGCGAGCCCCGCAAAGAAGCCTCGCACACTACTAATGCGCTCGCTGGCACGTTTGGCGGACTGATGTACGGAGGCGTTGTGGAGCACGGAGGCATTGTGGCGTGCACAGGCGTTGCGGTGCACACGGTTGCTGTGGGGTGCACAGGTGCTGTGGTGTACACAAGCGCTCTGGCGCACGCAGGCAATGTGGTGTACACAAGCGCTGGTGCGCACACGGCTGCTGCAGTTTACACAAGCACTGCGGTGCACATAGGCAACATGTGTGCTGCGTTGCACACGGCTGGTGTGGTGTGCGGAGGCATTGTGCATTGTGGTGTGGTGTGGTGTACACAGGCGGCGCTGTGTTGCACGCAGGCATCGGGCCTTGTCGTGTGCACAAGGACTGTGGCGCCCACAGGCGATTGATGCACCAGTGGCGCGGAAGCACCCTGGCGGGTGCACGCCTCGGCCGCCGTTACTGTTGCCCTCCCGCCCCCCCCCCCCGCCCCCCCCCCGGGAACACGACCGTTGCCCGGGAAGGGGAACAAAAACGCTGACAAGGTCAACATGCTGACCAGCCTGGACGCGATGGCCGACTTCAAGGCCGGGGACGTGCTCGTGGCCGACATGACCGACCCCGACTGGGAGCCGGTGATGAGCAAGGCCTCGGCGATCATCACCAACCGCGGCGGCCGCACCTGCCACGCGGCCATCATCGCCCGCGAGCTCGGGATTCCCGCCATCGTAGGCAGCGGCGACGCCACGGAGAAGCTCAAGATGGGTGACCCAGTGACCGTCTCCTGCGCGGAGGGGGACACGGGCTTCGTCTACGAGGGGGAGCTCGAGTTCAAGAGGGACGTCAAGGACCTGGGCGCGCTCCCCGAGATCGGCTTCAAGATCATGATGAACGTGGGCAACCCCTCGGCCGCCTTCGAGTTCGGGCAGATCCCGAACGAGGGCATCGGCCTCGCCCGCCTGGAGTTCGTGATCAACAACGCGATCGGCATCCACCCGAAGGCGCTGCTCAACTACGGCAGCATCGACGCCGAGACGAAGGCCGTCATCGACCAGAAGATCAAGGGCTACGCGTCGCCCGTGGAGTTCTACGTCTCGAAGATCGCGGAGGGCGTGGCGACCCTGGCGGCCTCCGTGTACCCGAAGCGCATCATCGTGCGCCTCTCGGACTTCAAGTCCAACGAGTACAAGTCCCTGGTGGGGGGAGAGGCGTACGAGCCCGACGAGGAGAACCCGATGATCGGCTTCCGCGGGTGCGGCCGCTACGCGGACCCTGCGTTCGAGGACTGCTTCGCTCTGGAGCTCAAGGCGATGAAGAGGGTGCGCGAAGACATGGGCATGACGAACGTGGAGCTCATGATCCCGTTCGTG